CCAGGATCCCGTCATCTCACAGGTCAGCTTGCCAGCCACGAGCCCCTTCATGGAACACAACCCGAACGATATCTGCCGTTGCACGGTCCTTGTAAATCTGCGGCTTCTTGAATCGGTTGTCTTACGCTTTGCATAATTCTACACGAACCAAGCTGTCCTGTGTACCTTGTGAAGCCGGGGCACGGACAGGACTGTCCTCGCCACCCAAAACGCTCTTCAAAATCCTGAACGATACGGGCTTCCACCACAGGGAAGACAAGAAATCACAGAAAAAAACGCAACATGGAGGTAATCTGACTGTACCGGCGAGATCCTCAAGTTGGAGTCCATCGACCAGGCTTCAAACTCATCCAGCTCATAGTGCAATGCAATCTCCGCGGATCGAAGACAGCAAATAATGTGCCCGAGACCGGCAGCACATCCCCCAACTCCGAAAAGGACTCAAAAGGGCAAGGAACAGAACCCGAATCCGAAGAGACCCAAAGACCCCCGCCCTGAAAGGAACCGACCCCAGCGACAAGGTTGCAAGTGCCCCGTTGATTCCCGAGGTCACGGTGGGGAGCCGTTCGTAGGTTTCGGAAAAGGGCCACAGCCATGAACTCAAAACCTTGCTTAAGCGATTCCACGTAACGGCAGAGCAGCCGAGTGACTTCCGGAAAGTCTCTGGTGGCCTTCCTGACTCCCAAGAGGCCTCCCCCGACAGCGTATGACTCCACTGTGAAGGCCTTGGACCCCTCCTGTTGTTCGCCCCGAGCAGGAGCATCCGAAGGGAGCAGATCTAGAAGCTGAAGAAGCTGTTCTTATCACTCACAGGACCGTCAGAAAATTTCGAATCTGAAAAGTATCAGGAAACTTATTTGTAAAAAGAAATCTCATGCGAGTCAAAGTTCAGTCATGTAGCTTGTGATGCATGGCACTCTTCTTTTTGTCCAGATGGGGATAACCAGATCTTGATCCGTCGAGAGAGCTGCTGAAGGCCCTTCCGGGCTTTCCCAGTGCAGAGAGGTCCACAGTCAGCGTCGGTCTCTGAACAGAAGGGGAAAAGTCTCTCCGCTTCCAGTGATCCAATCTGCCGGGACAAGAGCCGGTGTGACGCCGAGACAAGATCTGGTTATCCCCATCTGGACAAAAAGAAGAGTGCCATGCATCACAAGCTACATGATTGAACTTTGATTCGCATGAGATTTCTTTTTACAAATAAGTTTCCTGATACTTTTCAGATTCGAAATTTTCTGACGGTCCTGTGAGTGACGAAGTTTTTGATATATTCATATGCTATATGTTTGAGTGTTTTGTTATCCGAACATATGGAGCTTTTTGGAGCGTGGATCACGACTTCCTTTCGCGGTCTCCTCTTTTCGGTAGGAGACTCCACTTTGTGTTGCATGCCCAAACTGTTTAGTTTTCAGAACGGCCATCGTGTTTACTCGATCTGTTTTGTAAAACTAGAACATGTTTGGCTTGATCTTTTTGCGGTTGTCTCTTGTCAGCATGCTTTTGTATGTACATGTCAGCATGCTTTTGATCGGTTGGGCATGCGAGCTTTTTATCATAGTTCTTTCCGAATGCGGCATTCATCAGCGGCCGTGGAGTGCTCAGAGCTGAGCTTTTTATTTTACCCACCCTCCTCTCCCTTGCGCTCCAGCTGCTTATGCAGTAGTCTTTAGCCTTAGCTTTTGAGATCGGCTACAGTCCGATATATTGTTGTCAGCGATCGAGGATCGACTTTTCTCACTCTCGTTGCGATTTTTCCGTTGAAGCACAATCGAGCATAACTCGTGGTGCTTGACATTTCCGAGGGGCTTTGTCTTAGCTGTCCTCGGTTATGTTACTTGCGTTCTTCAGATGTCTTACCGATGCCACTTTCCACCACTGCCAAAAAAGAAGGGTGTCCGAGTGTAGTGTGCAGTGTCCGCGATTGGATTGAAGTTTTTGATATATTCATATGCTATATGTTTGAGTGTTTTGTTATCCGAACATATGGAGCTTTTTGGAGCGTGGATCACGACTTCCTTTCGCGGTCTCCTCTTTTCGGTAGGAGACTCCACTTTGTGTTGCATGCCCAAACTGTTTAGTTTTCAGAACCTGCCTGTCTCTTGTTGGGGTTGTTGGTCCTTCGGGGATGGGGGAAGTTCGTGTGGGGGCAGGCGCCAGGTCTGGCCGCTGTCTTGTCGAGGATCCGCAATCCAAGTGCAGGCAGGTGATTGGTCGCATTGAGGGCTATCGGATTGCAATGACCCTATGGGGGCAGGCTACATTGACTTGCCGTGGACTTTGGTGTGCACGACATCGCCGAAACGAAGTTAGCGGGGTCGCTCGTTGTCCGACGGGACTAGAACGACGGCCGGTAACATCTTTTTGGGGAAGCCACCGTTCGGACGGCTCAGAGCGCCGGCTCTTTGTCGTTTCGGCATGTCGCTGCGAGCCGCTTGTATAATAGCTACTGAACGGGCTAGCTTCGTAGTTTGCGAACCTGCAACAGCTGGATAGGCTCCTTGTTTCACCGCTGTTTTGTGTATGTTTGTTTGCTTGTTGGCTTCGTAGGAACCGAGTGCAGCTGACGCTGTCATTGAGGCCCGCACCAGCAAAAAAACTCAATCCGGTTGATGAGTTCCGGATGATGAGTTCCGGATGATGCACATGGACTGTTTCTTTTTCCGGAGGAAAGGCTCTGACATCTTGGTTGTGGTGGCTACTTCAAAGATGGCGGCCTTCATCAAGCCAAAATTGTGAGTTGACAAGAGAGTTTTTCCAATTCCCCGCAAGTTTTGTGTGAGTCTGGCCTTGCGAGACGCATGAAGGGTTGCATTGTCCCGGCAGGAGGTCCTACCATCTTTACTTTACTCTACTGGTGAGATGGTTTACTTGATTGTCAGTCAGCATCAGGGTGCTGTGGTGAGCATTGAGCACATGGTGCCCTTCAAACGCACTATGCGAACCAACATCAAAGCTGGTCTTCTGCAGGCCATTGTCTGGGCCCCGACCCGATGATGTTCTACTGCACATTTTGCGTCAGCACAAATTGCTGCGCACGCCTGGTCCAACTGGGAAGAAATCGTCATGATCGTCCCACAACACATTAAGTGAGGCCTGACACGCCGCCCTCTCCCTTGTCCAAAACAGCACAAGGGCATTGATGACAAGCTCAACAGAATTTGCCGGTGCTTGAATTGCTGCGCACGCCTGCTCCAACTGGGGAAAATTCCTCATGATCGTCCCGCAACACATTAAGTGAGGCCTGACACGCCGCCCTCTCCTTTGTCCAAAACAGCACAAGGGCACTGATGACAAGCTCAACAGAATGTGCCGGTGCTTTTAAAAACGCACCAGCCCACTTGGTCCGGCACCAAGGCTGGGTAGCTACTCCGCAGGAACCCTAGGGTTAGCCCGAACCCTAACCCGGGTCTGCAGGTTAGAGTTCGGGTTAATCCGAACCACATGAAGTTAGGGTTGCGGTTAACCCGAACCCAAACTCAGGTTGGAGTCAGTTAAACCCGAACTCCAACGTCAGGTTCACGTGCCGGGTCCAAACCCCAATCTCATTGCCCCGTTCACTGCTGGGCACGAGATGGGGCTCAAGCTGTTTGCTGACCACAATTGTCCCATGCTCACGTTACACTGTCCATCTCTCGCTAGCACGCGAGGAGATCGTTCTGCACCGGCACAAGCTTTTGCTCTTGTTATCAAGCTGAGCCCGCAAGCTAGCGACCTTAAGTTGCTGCTGCAACTTCTTGGTGTCAAGAGCAGCTTGGTCCTTGAGCCTCTTGGCCAGTTGCACATGCTGCGGGGCCGTTTTGGGTTGCTCCTCAGTCCTGTGCCCCACTACTCGTTGGAACAAAGCATGGAGGGGCTGGAATGCCTTTTGCACCATTCCCTGCTCTGCACCACCGTTTTGCGTGATGCACACAATCGCTTGTTGGAGTAGTTCTGCCAACTGCTCCATTGGGACGGGTGGCTGTCCGGAGACAGGCTTTGCGGAAAGGTCTGCCACACTTGCAGGTGGAATGCAAGTGCAAACGGTCTGTGAACAACCACTGGCCACAAGGACACACGACACAAGGCTTATTGGACATTCTAAGCGAATTGAGCCAAAATGGCTTGAGCCAAAATGGCTACGGCATGAAAAACATGACGTGCAACCACTGCTTGTGGAACGCCATGTGAGATGGGGCAAACGGCAAAGATCCTGGCTCTGCAAGATTCTTGTAGAACTTCGAGGAGTTGATGATGGGAAGCCAATGGCAAACGCTTTCGTTTTTGTTGATCCTTGAGGGGTTGCCATGCATGTCTGTGCTGTGTCGTGAGGTGTTTGGTACAATCAAAGATGTTGTCGTTATTTCAAAAGCCGACATTTCAGCTCAGAAGTTTGTCAGCTTTGTGCAAACAGTTTTGACATCATCTGGTAGATGGCCGACAATCGCCTTCCGTCACCTGTTCGAACGATCTGATGAGCCATGGCCTTATGTCCGCAGAGTTCGACTGCACACGCGTATTGCCTGAAGAGTTTGAATATTGCAGCACAAGAACCGCATCTTTAGATGCGCGTCGTCGAAGGCGGCCCAGCACAAGTCAAGTTCGGAATTTGGAGCCCGGCCAAGGATCCACGGCTTTACGTGTGGACGGTGTGACTCGGTCAAAAATGGAATTCCGTCTGACGCTTGCAACTTGCTTTTCTCACAAAAAGGTTCAAGCCACGAGCTGGGGCGATGAGGCCCTGAGCAAGTGTTTCTCAGCTGATGCTGGACGCACGGAGATGTTGAGCGCTTGCCTGTCTTAAGCTTCGTAGTACCTCGTAGACACTTTTTTGTGCAGCCGAGGTAAGCATTGGGTTGTTTTGGAGCCCCTCGTGTATCTGATGCCCAAAGCTGATCCAAAGCAGACTGCCAAGGCTCATCTGTTGCTTGTCAGAATTTTCACACAACTTGTCGCCGGCGAGGACAAGCTCGGACAGAAAGGTCAGGGTGAGATTCTGGAAGGTGATGGACTTCGAATAGAAGGCCGTTGATGTTCAGCTCGCCTAAAGGCAGAGGCAGTTTCTTGATTTCTGAACAATCCGTAGGTGTTCGATGGCTCCGCGTCAGGCAAGATAGTGTTGAGGTGCGTCTCTCAGTCCGAAGGATGTGTGGCAGCTGTTGCAAAATTTGAGAATTCGAGCAAGCGCTTGTCGTGTAGAATAAAGAGTCCAACTATGTTTTCGCCACGTGCGTTTATTGAGTCCACTCTGTGGGTCAATTGGATTAGAACCTGAAGTAAGTACGGTCCTTATGTACCGTCCACCGTTTCATCCCAATGTGTCAAGCTACACTAGTTGTTGATTCTCACTACTTCCAGGCATGGGTGCTGATTGACGGCAAGGCGGTCGGTGCTGACCGATGCTTCTTGGAGCCTGTGCCGGGCTGAAAATGAACGTAGCCGCGAACTGCACATGAAAGAATGAATATCACCACCGCCTGTCAAGTCTGCCTGTGCAGCTTGTTGGTTCCAAGCTGCACATTCTTGCATTCTTGCTCCAGCTACCATCATCAAGCTGTTAAAGTTAAAGTTTCGTCAGCTGATTCATGACCGGACAGAGAGTCGAAACATGCAAGCGGACGTTCTGGAGGCGGGTGGCATCTATCATTCATGCAACCAGTGCATTGTGAGTCCTGGCGTCCTAGTCGTGAAGGTGCTGCGTGCTAGCACTGTTGCATGCCACCACCTTGGCCCACGCAGAGGCAGTCAGCACGCGGATATCGATGAGACTGAAAATGGCTCCTCTGAACTTTACGAGGTTGCTGGCCGATCCAGGGAAATCCGCGACGAAATGAACAACGTGATTGGTGTTGAGGTGGACCACGGCGAAGCCGACGAAGCCGAGGCTGCAGAACTTCCAAACACTCGATGAAGAGTTATTGTCTGCTTCGCTTCCAGGACCGGCGACTGGGAGAGATCTGTGCCAGCCGGAGTCTTGACTGGGCCAGAGAACAGACACCGCCGCTTGTGTAGACCCCGGTGCAAGGCGTCGAACCTGATACCTGGTTTTGCTCCGGCGCAATGCAAACTCTGTGGGTTCCTCAAGTCGGCAACCGGGGTGGGCTGGCGCATCTGCATTTGTCAGGTGTTGCTACAGTCACGGTGTTCTTCGCCCTTGCAGACGTGTACACTGCGGCGAGCTCCTGCACGGGCTGAAAGCTAATGGCTTGTTTCGCTCCGGTCGAACATGTGAGGAACATGGTGTGATGTGTTGTGCCTGTCACAGAGCGTTTGTCACATTAAGATGCATGGAGTTGCGCGCCTCTTGCCCGCTGCCAGTCTATGGGTGCACACGGGGGATATGTATCCGATCGCATGGTCCTAAGCCGATGTCCATGTTCACTAGGTCTCGAGGGGTCAGCAGTCGCAGTTACCGGTGCTCGTGACTGCTGACGGATAGCTGACCCAGGCACAGCTAGCGTGCAACTTGCACGAGTGAGGCCAGTGTTTCACCTAAGGAGCAGCTTGCGGAGAGAGAATGAGAGCGCCAAGCAAAGATGGCCAGGCATGAAAAGAATTCCCACTGAAGGATGTTTTGCCGACTGACGGCCTGCACATCGTCTGTTCTCAGTCGGTGCCAAGCTTTGGAACGCGGCAGCTCTCTGAGCCTTGGGCTCCTAAGCGGCACCTATGGGTGCCCTTAACACGTTTGTGTCGAAGCCTTGTGGGCTCAATATTTCGAAAAGTTATACAAGCAATCGTCGACAGGCTGCAACCGCCCCAGCCTACCTTTAAGATTCTGGAGTATATTGAAATACGGAACTAGTCACTAGTCATTTGCAGCCTGCAAAGCAGATCAGACCTGCCATGGAGGTTCGGAGCCATCACGTTGGTCTGGTGCTCATCAAAGCACTTATGCATGGTTCTGCTAAGCAGGAAGGGCGTGCGCCGCTTCTGAAGCTGGCTCTGCACGACGTAACAGCCGCGTGGCCATGCTCAGCAAGTGGGCAAGGATAGCCAGTAGCTGGCAAGCTCAGTTGACCGATTTCTCTTTCTCTCGAGATTTTTGGTGCTGCGTCTTCTACCTCCCCGGGCCTTAGCCCCGGCTGAGGCTGTTTTAAATGTGCTCTACATGAATCCCTGGTGCTTGCTAGACCTGGTGGCAGCTGCGTGCTCTATCGGCTGAGTGGAGGCAGCTTCTTGATGCCGGTGTCTCTGTTGATCTCAATCTATGCAACTTCAGCAACAACTGCTCACCTCACATAGAGGGTTTGCCCGCTGAGGATCATGCTGAAAGCTGTACTGACAGGTGTGGTGCGCTTGATGCGTAGAAATTACTGATGAACTCTGTTTGGCTTTGCTGTGCTTTCTGCAGCTTGTGCCATCAGCACTCTTCTGACATTCGCTGGCAGCTTCACACCTTTGCAGGTCAACAAGATCACAAATGTTTGGTGCCTGCGTCTTACATCCGAACTGAACTGCCTTCATCCCCCTGAGCCCTGAGTCACTGAGGAGATGGGGCGCGGCTGCTTCGGCTTGGTTAAGCTACTCGTGGAGGCCTCACTTCGTCTGGTCTCGGGCCGCACTCGTGTCCCGGGTCGAGGTACTAGTAGGTTACAAGGATTACCAAGGGTTACTCGATCCCGTGAGAGCAAACCGTGAAATGTAAAGCAGTTGTCATGCGGTTATGCGGATCGCGAGAATCAGGGAACTGAGAGGTGCAAGTAAGGAACCCCATCGTCCCTTCCGCTTACATGAGAGGCCTCGGGGCCGTTGCGGACTGCCAATGAAGAGGTTGACTTTGCAGGCATGTTCGGGCTGTGCTTGTGCTTTCCGAATTGGCTAAGTGCAGCATCAGGTTGTATCTACAGGGCTGTGCACTATGGCAGCGTGGGTCCGGGGCATGTTAGAGGATGATGTTCGAAGTGATGGGGTACCGAAGAAATGGCTTAGGTCCGCTACAGCAGCTGCTTCGACCTCTCGCAGCCGAGTCTTTCGCCGGAGCCGCAGTCCTGATATGACAGCGGAGTCGAGGAACATTCTGGACCAAGGCTCGTCGGACCTTCGCCGTCGCCGTTCTTCGTGAGGCATCGGCTATCGCGAGGCTGCGCGCTGATGAGCAGACCTGTGCTTTGGTGTGTTGGAGGCGCTGGTGCAAGCGGCAGTTGCAGGCTTTTGGAGCATTGAGCAAGAATTGCAGTTGGCAGTGCCACCGGAGTCAGGTGATGCAGCAACGTGCCGCGCGGTATTGCAGGAACACGGCCAGCTTCCTAGGTCCCTGGTGTCCTAGCCGCGGGATGCCGTGGGCGGGACAACTTGCAACTCTTGGCTCCGAGGACCAAACTCAGCCGCTGCACTCTCGCGAAGATTGGGCACCGATGATGCTCTCACGGCACTTAAGGCGAGTCTCCGCTTCTGTCTGCAATTTGACTGAGTTCCACCCGCAAGGCGGCTTCTGATTGGCATCTTATGAGTGCCTTGGCACAGCGGATAGTTGCAGGTGATGTGGAACCTTAGAAGCCCTACAAGAGAGCGAGGGTTCTTCTCTGCACACCAGCGGCCAAGGTCCCGGTGAGGTCTCAGAGCTGAGGCGCCAGGCAGTGGATGAGGTCGGAAGTGTCTGCCAAGTGATGTTTTCGGGCTGAACTTCTCGAGTACTTCGTCACAGCAAAGTGGTCGCAGAATTTCGTTGTGTTGCAATTATGGCGGGGTCCGGTTTAGACTGGCTGAAGGGTAAGGTTTTCATGTAGTCGCCATGAATGGCCCTTGCTGGGCCGTGGATTGAAGCCTCCTGTGCACTGGATTCTACGATTATACTACGACCTCCTCCCACCTGACTCAATCCTGAACTACACATAGCCAAGGAAGCACTGTCATACCCGCTAGCTTGCAGGTGTTGAAAGCGGTGTTCTGAAGGCTTGCGACGACTTCTTGGCTCATGAGTCGTGGAGTCAAGACAGCTGGTGCCACAGCTGGAGAGAGTGGATGCAGGCAGTGCAGAGGTTTGTCGGCAGGTTTCACACTACAAGATCGACCAAGCTGTTCAGCTAGAGCCAGCGATTGTCACTAGTCAGCTGATACAGCTTCGTTGATGATGCTGCATGATCGTTTTAGATGGCCTGTGCTGTGTGGGTATGTAGATGAACAAAGCCTGAAGATAATCAGCACAGACCACGGTCAATGTCCATAATGCCATTCGCAATTCAGCTCGAAGCCTGGATGCCTCCATACGTTGCAAGTGCCGAGGCCCACCGGCCGTAGAGGACAAGTCAACTTCGGCAAGAAATACTAGCAGCCTCCAGGCAACCTGCCCACATCAAAGATTGAGCCGACAACGGCCGGTTGGTGCATCCGTGTCGAGCCGCCCTTACTCGAGCCAATCTCAGAAAACACCTCGGTCAAGGGAAGTACATAACTTAAGCCGTGACGGAAGCTTTGAAGCGACGGGTTGTTCAGAATTCGGAGGAAATGCAAAGATTTGCGGATTCCATTCCGATAGCAAAGGCTAGAGATTTCAGAAATCACGGATATTTTTAGCTATCCCATGCCATGATTTGGGCCGTATCTGGCATCATGGCATAAGAAGTTCACGCGGGTCAGAAGTCTTCGGGTCTTGTCTTTTTCCTGCCTGTCATAAAGCAAGATTTGAGTAGTGGGCGCGATTCGATTTCAAGCACCACTGCACCAGCTCTTGCTCAGCAAACCCGAACTCCTTTGATCCTTTCAGTTTTTCCATGGTTTTTCGCACTAGTCAGCTCCTTTAGGGTTTTGGTTTTGGCCTCCTCTTTTTGAGATGCCTCTCCTCCACCTGCTATTCAGGCTTTCACAGCTGATTTAGTTTTAGGGTTAAGGTTCTCGTGCCCACCATCTCCTTTCAGGATTCCGGTTTGCGGCATTCCTCTTTTCCGAATTTTTTGGACCTGCCCAGCCTCCATCCGCTTTGGCGGTTTAGAGTGTGCGTCATCAAGTCCTCATCATACCTTGCGCTGCCTAGTGTACCCTCGATGTTCTTAACAACCATTTTATTTCCGGAATCAGGGTTTCCTCTGCGAGGGCAATCGCGTCGTTGCTGGTAAGAGTTGCTAGTGCCTTCCTTCCTGCCTTCCCTTCCTTTCCTTCCTTTCCTTCCTTCTTTCCTTCCTTCCACTAGTTCGTTCTTGTGTGTCATTCAAGTCCCTCGCCTTGAAGCTCTGAATCCCGAAAGCCCTGTCGCACGAATCCACAGTGCCCGAATGCACTTAAGTTTTTTCTTCTGGGCTACTGAATCCCTTTTGGCGACCTCGGGCTTGCCTTCCAAGTTCCTCAAAGCCATCCACACTGGTTGCAGGAACCGAAAAGCCACCCAAACAGAACCCCAACTTAATGGCTTAGTTGAGGAGACAGGCAGGAGATAGCAACCCTTCGACGGTTGTTTACGTGCTTCTTTAGGATCTCTAAGACTGGCACCATGTGTCGTGACTACCTTGCTGCATGTTAGGTCCAGCTGTTTCAGATTACGGTTGCAGCATGTGAAGCCATCAGCATCGCCAATGAGCCACATGTGTAGGGCATTTAGGGCTTGGCCAAGCAAAGCGTAGGATGCGTGCTTTGCTTCTTGAGGCAAATTCTGCTGCCATCCACCGGGGACCTCCGCCATGGCTACGGGTGTCTCAACCGAGATGCAAGCCGAGGCAGGAGTCATTCAGTGAGCCCATCAGCCTTGCCTTGCTTCTTTTAAAGCAAACATTTCCAGCACTTTCTTCCCCAGGAGATGAAGGCCTTGGAAATGCCTGCGAAACGCATCCTTCCTCAGAGAGTGCTTGATGGAGATTGGCTAAGCCATGAGCTTCCGAAGCTACACAAAGATTTTTATTTGAACCATCCTGATCCAGCCCTGCGCTGCGAGCAGTTCTGCTGGGGAAACCTTGAAGAAGCACACCCTGTGCTTGGGCGACGGACACAGAATGAGGCTGCAGAATATCGAAAGTCTCGTGGCATTGTTGTGACCAGCGTCCGCGGACGGCCCGCACCAAAGCCTTTCCAGACCTTCCAGGAGACAAGTTTCCCGTCTTTTGTAGAAGAATTGGCAATGGAGCTGTTTTCAAGCGAGGCACTGCCCTTTTCCGTGCAGGCACAAGCGTGGCCGTGTGCATTGGCCGGGGCAGACGTGATTGCTGTGGCACCAACTGGATCTGGGAAGACGTTAGCCTTCTTGCTGCCAGCCCTGGTGCACATCATGGCCCAACCTGTGTTAACGGTTGGCGAGGGTCCGATTGCCCTCTTCCTGGAGCCCACGCGCGAGCTCGCTGTTCAAACGCACGGTGTGGCGCAGCAGTTCTGCAGTCGGACCAAAGGTGAGGACTTGCTTCGTGCGGGTGTGATCTATGGAGGTCAGGCGGTAGAGCTTCAGACTCCTCTGGAGGGTACTCCGGACTTTGGCAGATGGCCGGAGATTTTAGTTGCGACTCCAGGTAGGCTATGGGAGCTCATGACCAAGAAATGTTGGATCAGCGCCAAGCGCATGAGTTATGTTGTCTTGGATGAAGCGGACCACATGCTTGCAGCTGGAACATGGCTGATTCAAGTACAGGAGCTGCTTCGGCTGCTACGCAAGGACCGACAGCTTCTTCTCTTCTCGGCCACGCTGCCGCTCGAAGCCGAACGGGCAGCGCTTGACATTTGTGGCGATGAGCTTTTCAAGATTCAGGTCAACCCCAAAATCCCCAGCATCTCGCAGGAGGTGAAGCTTTTCCCGGGTGCATATGATGGTGGTCATCAGGCGAAGATGGCAGAGCTTCAGCGATGGATTCGGGAGGACTTGAAAGATGAGGAGTCGTTGTTGATACTGTGTCACAGATCACAAATTGGCTATGTTGCCTCTGATTCGAAGCTTCGAGATGCCGTTGCAAGCGTGAGTCCGGATGGAATGCGTGCAACTGCGGTTCTTGACCATCAGCAAAGGCATGAATCGCAGCAGTCTCCCTACAAAGACTTCGTGAGAAAAGCAACGCGGGCTCTGATTTCAACTTTCTCCTTGGCTGGAAGAGGTCTGGACTTCCACGACACTGGCTCGTACTCGCAGTTGTCGCTTGCTGTGGTGCTTTTTGATTTCCCTGCGAACATGGGTGAATACGCAAACTGCATTGGCCGCACATCCCGTCCTGGACAGAAGGAAGGAAGGGTGTATGCATTTCTGCCAGAAGGCCGCTTCTGGATCGCTGGAGAACTGATTCAGTTGCTAGAGCATTGTGAACAGCAGGTGCCCCGAGAGCTGCAAGATTTGTACAGCCAGGATGCAGCCTTCATGGCGGAGGTGAAAGCTGCCATGCAGCAGCTGCTTGCCGGGGAACTTCGCCCAGAGTCGCTTCCACAAAACCAAGGAACATACGATCCAGCCTCTCAAGTATGGACTTTGCCAGCCAGCATCCCGTCATATCGACGAAAACTTATTCACACACTGGCTGACGAGCTTAGCTTGCCTCATGTTTCGTATGGTGCCAATCGGGACCGGAAACTCTGCATGGCCACAGATCGAAAGGCCCTGCCTGAGAAGTACTTCGTCGAGGGCGAGGCCGTCGTAGTGGTGCCACGCAATGGACACATGGACCGTGGAAGAGTCAAGGATCCTCGCGTCAGATATCGGCACATCACGGTCTGCTTTGACGACACGAAATTCTTCGGTGAGTATCCCATTGATGTCCTAGCCGACGATGTCTGGCCAGAGGGCGAGGAGCCAAGTGGTCGTGACAGGCACGGGTATCTTGGACGGCGGACCTATGCAGCGTATCAGAGGTATCGCTAGGAATAGGTGCGCAAATGCGCAAATGCGAGTTGCCAAGTTCAGGAGTGGATAGCCGAAGACAATTTTCAGCATTCTGCGGTTGTGTTTGCACAATGGGGCCCCCACGCTCTTGAAGAACAGCAGCATGACCTGCCATGGCCACATCTAGTCTCCACCTGAATGGAGTTCTGCTAGCAATCCGAGTCGCATCCCGTGAGCTGGTCTCAACTGAACCAAGTCCTTAACAGGCCTTTGCAGCGATGACGACAGTTGATTCTTGCAATTTCTTGCATCCCAACACGATCTGACACACCGCATCTGCTGTGCCATCACCCCTAGCTGCTGCTGCATTTCCCTTTCCAACTACCCTCCGGAATCCATGCTTGTCCTATGCTTGTCCGTGGCTTTTCCTAAGCTTCTCCATGACATATCCACCTCGAACATGATGAGCTAAGGATAAGCAAAAACACCCCCGATCGACACCCCACCCCTCCACTTCAAGACAGTGGCTCCAGGGAAATGGATGCTCACACGTCGGAGAACAGAAGCCTGCGTTGAGCAAGCCCTTAGATCTCTGCAGTCCCAGATAGTCCCAGACTGCGGCTGTGAGGTGTAAAGCTGTAAGTGCTCAGCCCTGACCCCTGCCATCCCCTTGCCATGCATGGCTAGAGCACCAGACATGCGATTCTGCCATGGGAAGATGGGATGTAGTTGGCAGCCTAGGCCTAGGCGGATTCGCACCTTGTGAGTTGGTCAAGCATGGTCAAGCTCTCTTTGAAGGCTTCGTTGCGGGGGTCCTGGCCTAGGTGCTTCCATTCCTGGCTCCCGGCCGCGGGGCGGTTCCGTCAGGAAGGGGACGGGACACACATGAGTGAAGGAAACAGAACGCTGACGCGGGAGGCAGCCGACGCACCAGAGTGGAAGAGTCGCATGATGCTCAAACTCACTTGGGTTCACATAGTCTTGTGACGTTATCAAAGCGGGCGTCTGTCAAGCCAAGTGCTCGGTGTCAGCTGGGCTTAGACACTTCGAGGTCTTTGGGCTTGGTTTCGGAAGAGTGATGCATAGCCAATAGCATGTTCGTGCATGCATTCCACACCGGAGTTCGACCTGATTGGTGCACGGTTGTTTTTTGCAATACCTCCCTGCGATTCTGGGATTGTGCTCGCAAAACCCGACCAGCCCTGCAGTCCGGCAGAAGCTGTTTCAGTGCATATGGCAAGACAGCACAGGCAGCCACGCTTTCATGTGGCAGGTAGAGCTTCTGTTGCCGAGGCCAAGATCGTACTCACCGAGTTCGTCATCGGGCTCTGCCTTGCCAAGAGTGATCTGCTGAGAAACTGCGTGATGTCTTGCTCAATGGTAGAACTGATCGTTTAAGCGCTAACGCGAGAGCCGCCAACGGTCGGGCCCGCAGCCGTTTTGCAGCGTGGCACCGGCGGCAGGAAAAGGTGGGAGAGGGGGCGAAGGAGGGAAGCAGGAACAAGTGGGGAAAGGAACAAGCCGGGAGGAGCCGGGTCGGGGCTGGTGAGGAGGGGGGGGTTGTTGGAAGGGAGTGCCAAAAATAATCCCATCCAGCGACCACATGGTAAAACCCAAGCCCAAACTCCTGGGGATTTCGCCGAAACTCCTCAAAATTCCGGTGACGGGAGGGTCATCCCACTATCATTGCAGGGTTCCCTGGAAGCCAAGACACCCCCGACCTCCGGCCTCGCCCTCCGGCCTCGGCGGATTTTCAGTTTGCCGCAGGCTGACGATGATTCGGAGCTCCCGAACGTGGAGGTCAAGGGCTACCCGTTTCTGATGCCATTGAATTGGGTTGTTGCTGTTGGGCTGCCGCCAGGACATCTATGATTTGCTGACCTCAGACCTGGCAGATGTGGAAGATAGGCCGGTTTTCCAGAGAGCCCAAAACGTCCTGCGCCTGGAGCTGTGCAATCCTGTCTCAGGCTTCGGAGGAAATCCAGCAATACTGCTTTGACTGCAAAGGAGGCTTCCACAGACCCATGTGCGTAGTTGGACATGCAGCTCCGCAAGCCGTGGTGTCAGCAGGAGAAGCTGCACAACTTGGTCCGGGTGGAGCTAGGCAGAGATCAGCAGTCACATGGGGTTCTTCAACGGCAAGGAGCGTCGCTGTTCAGGTGAGCGGCGCAGTGTGGAGGAGATTGGCTTGGCACTGATTGGCGGGCGCTTCGACCTGGCAAATGTGCCAGGCAATTACGAGACTCAGCAGGAACAGGTTTCCGTTTGCCCGTTTTGGCAAATCCGAATTGCAGGTCTGGACGGCAGGCGGGGGCTGACTCTGGCTCGGCGAAGCAATTCCGAGCTCTTCTGTTCGCAGATCACGTCGAGCATCACCCGTCCAAGATGGTGCAGAGGCGGACAGACAATTGGAGTTGCATGCAAGGAGCGGCAGGAAGCGTGGGGATTAAAGGCTGGAGCCCTCATGCAGCGAGGACCCTAATCAAAGAAAGAAACAGGCTAGGCTAGCTACTTGCGTTATGGACATGAAAGCACGACGTGAGTAATGAGTCACGTGAGGCACGTTTCAACAGTTCAAGGTCGCAGGATCATCTCAACCCCTTGTGTTCCACGTTCTCAATTTCTCAAGCACGGGACAGCCATCATGTAATCGGTTCACTCGGAAGCACAGCCGAACCATGCCGTGGGTGCCGTGGGTGCCGCTGGGATGAAATGAATTGTTTTGAAACGCCGTACTTCGAGGAGAGTTGGCCCTGCAAGAGCTTCCGAATCCAGTTGAGAACTTAACCTGCCTTTGTACCACTGCCGCAAACTGGCAGCCACTGACTGACGACGCTGCGGAGCGTTGCCGGTGCTTCCCACAAAAGGCGAGATGTCGCGGGGAGACAGAGCACATCTCCTGCTAGATCGGCAAGATGTGTGCGGCCGCGCAAATTCAAGCCGCGAATTTGTCGCGAGACATCCAGGCTCTTGTCTGAGATGTCAAGATGCCACGAAGACGGAAGCCCCAGGACATGCACGAGACTGTCACTAGCGGGCGTGCCACCAAAGTGAGACCTGTGCGCACCAGTTTCGAGTCATTTGGTTGATGTGACTGGAAATCTGACAGAGGAAGTGATGCAAGCAGAAGTCGGGCAACACTTGGCGCAAGGGTGTCCATGCATGCCTTCCGAGATGTCGGGGTGGCAAGGGATCTGATCAGTGGAAGCTAGTGCCGACTTCTGACCTTCCTTCGTGCTGCTGCACACGATTTAACATTGCAATACTTTGGTGCTTGAGAAACAGAAGATGTCTCGTTCTTCGACGTCGGTAGGGTGTTGGAGCAGGTTTGGACTTTGCCAGATGCGAAATCTCCTTCATCATCATCTTCCAGGTCGGCATACGATGAACAAACCGGCTGATTCGTGTGTTTGTGTTTTGTGTCGGCAGGTCGACTGTGTCGATGAAGGTCGCTTCTCCACTGCCGCCGTCTTGGTGCCTTAGCCCCCTATAGTTGCTTCAGCTGACACCACTGCCTACTTGCAGATTGAAGGCCCGACGCAAGCCTTGATTTGCGCTCAGCTCTTAGCTTTGCCTCTGTTCGGAGAGCATTTTTGAGGCATTGAGGCAGATGCCACCTTGCTTTCCAGGTCAGCGGTTTCCCGAGTTGCCACCGAGGTTGGCACGGTCCTGAACTATAATGCGCTCTTGCATAAACAACATGGTCTGAGGTTGAGCATGGCTGCTGCACAGCAGGCATCCCACTCTCGGCCATATCCTCAACATCGGGTGGTTGACACATATTGACACTGCATGGCAGGTCATGTTCCGATCGCAGTTCATGTTCCCGTGTCCGAGTAAACCTGGATTCACATCTAAGCTGTTGCACACTGTCCCTGTGGCCATCAGAACACCAATTATTATCATGCTGGTACGCTGAAAGGGATTTGTGAGTTGCAGAGTTCTCGGTCGGCAAACTTGGTGCTCTTGAGCGCAAACTGAAACTGCGGCAGCCCGAACATGCCCTTAAACTGCGTTAGCAGGCGGCAGTTTGCAAAAGCTTGCGGAAGCCTTTTCATGAGGGACCCCTTCACATAAGTGAGGTTTCCGAGCTGGGCCTCCCTGCAAAGAGGGGCCTTGCAGACAGTGACAAGCAAATCAGCATGAGCAGTGCAGCTCAGTCCATGCAACATGACCCGAACGCTTTTGGCATGCCGCGGTGGTGGAAGATTTTCTGTTGTCAGTCTTTCTTCAGGGTCCAATCTGCCGAGTCTTTGCAGGCCCTCGCAGGCATTCAAGCCAACACCTGTCAACTTTGACTTCGTGATCGGCACAAGCTCGGTCAAGAAGAAGGTCAACTTCTCAGCTCCATATGATCCTCCGGAGAAGGGTCGTTCACTTATTGACCTGCAGCCTGCTGCCAATGCTTAAGCAAGTGCAAGGCACCAAAGCGCAAGCCGAAAGAGCAGAAGGAATCCAACGATCCTCAGAGAAAGCGTTCGCCTCAGTTCAGCAGTTGTATTCTCTTGCAATGGTTCTCTGGGTTGCTGCCCTACTTCTCGTGCCTCCATGGCCTTCAACTCGAGTGCATCCGAGTGCATCTCCCTTCCATATCCTTTGTGGTTCTTTCTGTGCACTTCCAGGACTCTTGAAGCATTCATACTTTGGATGTGACATGACCATCATGACCATCGCTTCTCATTCGACGTGGAGCTTGCAGGGCCGCACCCAAGAAGCGCGTTCCCTCCTCAGCTCCTGAGCGCACTTCCTGTCTCAGAGAGCGAGAGAGAGAGAGTGCACAGAAGTCGCCACAGCGACCGCCCACGGCGCCAGGAAGCCTTGGGCCCGAAAGCGCCAAAAGGCACCTGCACATGCGCACTGTATGCGACAACATGAAGATGACTTGCTTCAGGTTTACCGCGACCAAGGCAAGGGGTTGCGTGTCAACAGAACTCGACAGAACCGCTGCAGAGCTTGGGGCAGCTGAGTTTGCGAACGGGAATAAATTGTAATTGTAGTTCAGAGACCATCATCTCTGTTTGCGCTGTCTGCCCGTTTACACTCCCAGTTATCAGTCAGGGGTCGAAGCACGAATCCTGCAGCGCAGAAGCAGAAGGACTGCTACCTGCTACTGTATCTGTTGGCTTAGGTCAGCTGGGTGTTTTGTTGGTATCCCGGCAGGACGAGATGCCAGCCAAAGGGTATCCAAAGCCTGCAGAAGCATCTTGTCAAAAGCAGAGTTGCTGCATGCTGGCTTCTGCGAACATTCAAGGTTGGGTTGTCTCGAGAAGATATTTCGTTCTTGCCTAGACAAGACACGATCTGTATCGCGGTCTCTGTACGCTCCTGACCAGCGTGCTTCTGATGTAGGCCCTATTGTAATTCATGTCAACATCATGCAACGTCATGGATCACTCCGGTCCAGCTGACTTCGTCCTTGTACATGTGTGTTTTAACTCCGACGATTGCTGGCAGCAACGCCTTCCCCACAAGTCCTTCTGTTAAACGCAGGCAAGGGCATCCTGGCTTTTCTTCAAGCGAGCAGAAGCAATCCGCATTGGCGAGCCCGAGCTTCGCGTCTAGAAAACTCTGTGTTCGGGGGCCTCGCGACCTCTCAAGTACCTAGCCGGAGCGGCTTGCTAGCTGCTAGCCACAGTTTTAACTGTAGCCTTTGCATGTTACCCCTTCCCACATGGCCGTTGCTAATCATTCCTGTCTGGTTGAAACAAAGACCGGAAACTCAGCAGGACCCCCGGTACGCTCGCCGTGTGGGAAGTCCTGTGTCCTGTGGCATGCACCTGCGCCATTCTGCAGCAAAGTGAACATCCAACTGCCGCCCGCGAGGAAACCGTGAAGCAACACAACCTCCATGCGTTTGGGATCATGTCGCACGGGTCTTGCAGCCAGGTTGCATCGGAAACAGCAGGAGGTGAGGGTACGAAAGAAGGAGAAGAGCCGGACGAGGAGGACCTGGAGGAACCGGAGGGGCCGGAGGAGCCCAGGAGCAGAACTTCGGTTGAAGCTCAGAGTTTCGTTTCAGAGACGTTCCAGGAAGACCAGGCCAGATCTGAAGGGCAAAGTGTGGAGAGAGCAGAGGCCCAGGCGGCGGCAGAGGACATGGAGTGTGGCGATGACAGTGAGAACGAGAAGGGGAAAGAGCAGGAAAGCGCGGATGAAGAGGCTGGAGGCGACGCAGAGGTCGCAAAGGATGCAGAGATTGCGGAGCCGCAGGTGTTCACTGTAGAAGTACCAGAGACATCAGAGCAGGCCGGGAGTTCGACAGCGAGGTCGGGCGAGCACCAGAAGCCGGACCATGAAGAGAATGAAGACATGCAGTCCCGAATGCATCTGGAAGGCCAGTAGCCGTACTGTTACTAGCTTACTTCAGGCTGCACACTCACCACAATCTGTGATGCTGCTGGCAGGATCACACGATGACGAAGGACTGCATGCCGAAGAACAGAAAGGGCCAAGTGCAGACGAGGAAGATTTGCAGTTTGGGTGGCTTAGTGTCGGAGACCAGCGTGTTAGTCGCAACAGCGCTAGATGCGGAAAGGACTCGCCCACGTCCAGCCACAGCAGCTGTCCGTCCAAGCAGTCTGGAAGAGGAGCGCAGTTTGAGCACACTCTGAGCGTGCTCTGCTCGTGTGCGACTGGAGGACTTCCTCCTTCCTTTGCGGAGATGCAGCCTCAGCTGGAAACGAGGACACGGGCGTTCCAAATGAGTGCTTGGTCTCAGGTCAAGGCCAGACGAGAGCCCTGCCACGTGCCTTTTTTCATGAATCAATCCTGACATGTGAACACAAGCTTTGCGCATTCGACGAGGTCTGCAGCGAGACCGAGAATATTCAGCCAAAGAGTGCGATGCCCTACATCTCACGTGACAACTCCAGACCGGCTTCCGCATCACCATCCGGCACGGTGCGTTGGGCACTTACATCACCGATGTCAGGCACCACTTGCGCAAGCTATGTAATGTGAGTTGCAGAAGGCCATGAGCCGGAGAAGACGTACCGTCCTCGTCATGACATGTCAACTTGTCCTGGTCGCAGGGGTAATGCATTGGCAGCATTCCTAGGTTCTCCCTCGATAACGAAGCGCTCAGCACAACAGCTGGCCATGCTGCCAATGTCGCGAAGCAATGTTTACCGCTCAGCCCGAAGGGCAGCAGTTGGGATTCATTGAGGTGCCCGGCCCGTCGCCCCGAGGCTTGGGCTTGAAATGTCGCTTGTCTCTGTATCGCTCCGACCTCCTGCGTGAAGGCGAAGCTCTTTGCAAGGAGACCAGCTCCAAGCCCACAGCACAGATTTGGAAAAGGACACGTTCGTGCTAGAGCCCGCACTTTTTCTTCAGAAAAGGTGCGAAAAGATCCAGAAGACTCGGAAGCCACCCCTACCTCACGATGCGCTCAGAGCCACGTGCTTGTGCCGTGTGATGCAGGAGACTGCATGCATCTGTAGGCCTGCAAATCACGAGCTGGATTCCTTCCGAGGCACAGGCGAAGAGCATCACAAGCAGGCTCTGACTTTCACGGCGCTACAGGAAGCTGCAACCGAGTGTCATGGCAGGGCCAATGAACTTGAGTACGTCGTGGGCTTTCAGTGTCTCTAACTTTGAACTGGACGCATGCCTGGGCGAGCCGGTAAGGTGGGACTTGACCCAAAGTTGGTCGAGACTGGTGCAATCAGGACGAATTCGCAAGAAGTCCGATGCAGAGTTCCAAGCTGCGTAAGAGGAAGTACCATGAAGTGTTCCAAAACTTCACCGACATCTTTAGCTGGGGACGATCCCAGGAGGCGTTTCGGAGCTTGCATGATGTATTTCTTCAGTTGTGTTGACCTTGTTTTGGACAAGTGTAACGTGCTAGAACAGAGGCTCGGGTTTTGTTCACGCCTTGTGTGCGGAGCATTCTTTGTGGAAGCAGGTGGTGCCCCAGAGGGAGCGATATCTTCGAGAGTCCCTGCAGTGCGGCTCTCGTTGCAGCTGATCCCCGGGCGTGTCACTTGAAGACAATGCAGTCAGCTGTGAATCGACCAAGGTTGTTCTCTCAGTTCTGTAACATCATTGGTTCCTTGGAAGTGCAGTCAAGTGCTCAGAGACAGACTACTGGCTGATCCGATCAGGGCTGGGCCCGAGGGCGTGGCACCAGATCGGCCTGGGCTCGATAGGATGCGACAGGTTTTCTAGGAGGTCTGCTGAAAGTGATGCAATATGATGCAGAAAACTTTTTCGTGCTTTGCTTCTGCGAGACAGGCTTGATTCGCCCTGACGATTTGCAGCCATCATAGGCAAACTGCGTAAGATGTCGCGTTTGCATGCAACTGACTTTAACAGCCATGTTCGTCCATTTTGGATCAAGTGCCTGGATTTTTGACGAGTCAGTTTTCTAGCCTTTCCGCGAGATATAGCCATGGCCTCAGACGGAGAGGAGGACTGGGTCAGTCAGGTGAGGCGAGTCGAGCAGCAGCTCATAGACCTCATCAGCCAAGACGGAGACCTAGTCGTGGAGGCTCTCTCCAATATCCCTCCAGACGCTCGTGGGAGGCTCCAGACAATGCAGACCTTAGCCGAGGAGGTGGTAGTCCAGGCGGCGTTCGGGCAGAACATCATTATAGACACTGGTTTAGGCTCAGCCTCCTGGTTCGCCATGGAACTAGACGATGACGATGCCCAGCCAGATGCTGACGCGGCATCGTCTGCTCAGCCGCCTCTCGGTCTACCGCTGACTCAGACGACTCAGTCGTGGGCAGACCAACTGGATGGAGACGATGGTGCTCCTGAGCACCTTCAGCCAGCTCAGCCGCAGACAGCCGCAGCAGCCGTGCCTGAGGCAGCAGCCCAGCTGTTGCCGCCAGTCCTTACAGTGGTTACTCAGGTACAGCAGCCGCCTCAGACGCCTCAGTTGCCGCAGCCGCAACCACAGCCTCAGGTGCAGTTACAGCCGCAGGTTCAGCCACAGACTCATGTGCCTCCTGTGGGCCCTCTGAGTAAGGCAGGTACCAAGGGACAGACGGTACCAGCCAAGCAGCCGCCAACCAAGCCGATGCCTCAGCCAGCTCAGGTTACACAGCCTGTGCCGCAGCCTCAGCAGAAAGCCATGCCAGCTCCGAGGCCAGGTCTTGCCCCGCAGACCGCCCCTGCTCAGCCTCAGGTGCCACAGCATGTGCAGCAGCAGCCAGCATACCCTGCTCAGCCCGTGCCTCAGCCGCAGCAAGTGCACCCAGGCCAGCCTCCGGCAAAGGCGCCTACGGTGCCCCCGCCGCCACCCAACACAGTCGTGATCCGAGGCCCAGGGCAGCAGGGCACACCAGACGTCGGGCCGATAGCAGGCCCAACTAGACAGCCACTGCAGCGGCCCCTTCAGCCTACGCCAGCCCAGCCCTTCGTTGCTGACCAAGACGCTCTCAGCCGATTCCCAGACGAGCTAGTCGGCTACAACGCTGGCATTTATTATGCTCGCTATGCAGCCGTAGGCGACCAAGGACTGTTGCCGCAGCACAGACCTTACAGCCTGGCGTTCGCGCCATTAGTCTCAGGCCGTGAACCCAGACTTCCGCAGTCCCTTAGGGACCACGGTCACACGACCGATGGCTTCTGCCTTCACCTCTGTCCTATTTGCCAGAGGCGCAGTTGCAGCCGTGCTTTAGCCCTAGGCAAGAAGGGTGGAATAGCACACACCCACCACGACTGCCCGGTGTGCCATGTCCCAAGACATGGTCGCCGGGCAAGGCAACCTTAGGCACACCAGCCCGGCCGCAGCCTCAGCATGCTTGCGCTTTTCACTGGTCACTGTTCTGCCTTGCATGTGCTCTTTGTTTCAGTCAGGTCACTCAGCCTACAGCCCCAGCCAGTGGCGGTCGTAGACAGCCCAGGCTTAGACAAAATCCGCGGACCAGGCCGTGGACTCAGGACATCTCTCCGGCCTAGATGCACACTTCGCTGGTCTGTCAGGAGCCTTACACTGAGGCAGCGTAGCTTAGCCAGGCCACGCAGACACAGCATTTTCTCATAGCCGCGAGCCCAGCCTTCCCCAGACAATGACTGTAACTTGAAAGGGATATTTTGGCTTGCGGCTAGTCTGGCCTATGTGCCGCCTAGCCTCTACTCAGACAAAGGCCCCGCCCTCCCTCCAAAAGCAGGGGGAAGCCTTTGGGCCAATGTCTGCTAGGCACCAGCGCTTGAGCGCCAGACAAAACAGTATGGGCTTGAGCCCCTTGCTCCCTGATGCTTTGCCTCTCGAACTGCTGGCTTGAGCCTTGCGCTTTGGTTGTGCCTGGCCCTGCTACGTCTCGGCTTGAGCTGGGACTTTGGGGCAGTCCTTGAGGACTCGCCTGGGGCCAGGCTCTTACAAGCGGGCTTGGGCCCTTTTGACACAGCTTGTGCTGCAGTCATAAACCTGCTGCCCAGGTAGCTGTGTCTAGCCTGTGGCCAGGCTCTCACTGCCGGGCTTGAGCCCTTTGACTCAGCTTGAGCTGCAGTCCTTTGTGCCTTGTGCCCAGGTTGCTCTGGCACCAACAGGCCAGGCCCTTTTCCTGTCCTGTGGGCAGCACGGCCTTGTGGCCCAGGTACAGTCAGCACGCAGACTAGCGCGCCTTGAGGCCTGCGCCAGCCACCCATAGTCTCGTGCTGCTTCATTCGTGTCAGGACAAAGAGGATGTCGGCTGTCAGTGACAGCAAAGTCACCTTCAAGGCAAAAGCCTTGCAACATGGGGTGCCTCAGGCAAGCCTTGACGCCTGGGAAACTCAGGGCATAGCCAGCTATAGCCAACTGCTGTTCAGAGTGGCGTCTGCACCGAACGCCATAGACTCTGCCAAGCTTCAGTCGCTGTTAGACAATATGCAGCCCAAAGCCACAGAGGCGGTCACCTCCGCAGTGAACCGCCTTCTTTTTGAAGCAGGGACCTTTGTCGTCTCAGAACTTAGGAGCACCTTGGAAGGGCCCTCTGCCGAGCCCAGCCGTCGTTTGTCGACACAAGAGAGGGCCAGCCGCTTGCAGGCTCTCCAGGCTAAACTTGGCTCTTTCCGGATCTCAGGACAGTACGAACCCAGTCACCAACTAGTCGACAGCTTCAGTGCAATGCTAGCCGACCAAGCCTTGCGGCATGTGCCCCTCAACAGGTGCAGTACGAGGGAGCAGGAGGTAGCCAACGTCAGACGGGACGAGCACTTGTTGCGGCTCGAAAATTCTGCCCTTCGTCTAGCCAGCAAGCCGCAGCCAATCAAGGCGGACCTTTCCACAGAGCTAAGAGTCTCTCAGGCGCTTAGCAGACGGGGATTAGCCATTGAAATGGCAGGCATAGGCTCTTTTGACGTTCACGAAGCCTATAGTCGCAGCCTTCTAGAACACTTGCATAGGCCAGCCCCGCCGAAATTCGAGGCGCCAGGCATCGACAGCCTCCTTCGCGCAGACCGTGAACTTTGGCTGCGAGTCTCTGAGGAAGTCGGCAGCAACTTTGCAGCCCCTGGCCAGGCATCAGCCGTAGACGATGCCATTCGTAAATGGCAGGGCAGCATGCAAGTCACTTACTTTCTCGTGCCTGTGCCTAAGCCCGAAAAGCCAGACAAGCCGCCGCTGAAGCGGACATGGGATCAGTCTTCCTACTCAGACGCTCCGGGCAAAGGTGGGAAAGGCAAAGGAAAATTCAAATTCATGACGCAGGCGTGGCAATCAGGCAAGGGTGGCAAGAAAGGCAAAGGCAAAGACAAACAGCAGACGTCCATGCCCTCAGCCCTCAAGGGTATGGATCCCAACTATCAAGGACAGCCCATCTGTTTTAACCATAGCCTGCCGCATGGTTGTCAGGAGCAGACGTGGGACACCGAGCACGGCAAGGCCTGCAGGAGAGGCCTGCACATTTGCATGAAGTGCCATGGAGATCACAGCTTCTCCGCCTGTGACAAGTGACAGGCTTACGGGCCAGCTGAACCCGTCCAGTCACAGGACGTTCCCACTGATGTCACTGCAACTCCCACAGCCACAAAGGCGCAAGGGGCACCTCAGACGCAGCCACAGGCTCAGCCTCCTGCAGACACTGAGTACAACCATCTTCAGACCCCGTGCCCAGACGCTAAGCCAGCGTGCAAGCCTGCCAGGTCCCTGTTTGTAGAGTTGTTTGCTGGCACCGGCAGACTCTCTAAAGCCTTTGCGCAGTTAGGCCTGCAGGTTCTTGCCATAGACACCTGTCGGGTGGAGACCGTGCCCTCTTTGGCGCTAGACCTGTCTCAGGCGCCCAACCAAAGGCTAGTCTTCGAGCTGATACGCTCGAAGAGAGTTGCAGCCGTGCACTTGGCACCCCCGTGCAGCACTAGCAGCGCGGCCCGAGCGATCCCCGCTGGCCCCTTTGCACCTCAGCCCCTGCGCAGCCCCCAGTGCCCAGACGGCCTGCCAGGGCTTAGTTTTGTAAATCGTAGCAAAGTTGCAGCAGCCAACAAGCTTTACAAATTTGCTTGTGATGTGATCGTAGCCTGCCAGGAATCAGACGTTGTCTGGTCCCTAGAAAACCCTGAGGCGAGCCTCTTTTGGCTTACCAGCCCAGTTTTAGCCACCTGGAGACGCTTCAGGCAGCACATTTGCTTTGGAACGTTTGATGCTTGTGTGTATGGGGGACTTAGGAAAAAGCCCACTACGTTTTGGGCAAACATCCCAGCAGTCAGGTCCTTGTCCCTCAGGTGCCACGCAGGCTTACAACACAGCCACGCCCCCTGGGGCCGTCAGGGAGCCGGTTGGGCTACTGCCGAGGAAGCGGCCTACCCACGAGCTCTCTGCAGACATTGGGCAGCCTTCGTCACTCAGTCCTTGGCAGACCAAGGAGTCCTGGCAGCTCAGAGCCACGAACAAGGCACAGCCAGGTACGCGGCACAGGAACGCGCGGCCCTGGGCCTCTTCCCTAAGGCTACCCACGCACCCGTGTCCGTAGACCCCTTCCAGAACAAACAGTGGGTGCCCTTGCAGTCGCAGGCTGAACGAACAAGGTTCGTGCCAGGCACGCGCCTCCAGGGACCAGAATTCCCCAAAGGCTCCACGACCATCACAGTCGTCGTGGAAGAAGGGCAATGGTGGGCTTTAGTCGGACAGCCAATAGAGCCTCAGACGTTTGCAGAGCGAGCTCTACAAAGCCAGCACCCACAGTGCGCCCTGCCACCGTTGCCTCCGGCCTTAGACAGGACCGTCTATGACTTAGGCCACATGGACCTCTCTGACCTCCACAGACTTCGTTGTCAGCGCCTCAAAGCCATGTGTGACATGGCCATGGACTTACAGACGAAGGAGGAGTCTGATCATCGCAGCTTGCCTGCACATATGCAGACCATCCTCAGGAGCAAGCGCATTCGTCTCTTTGAGACTTTACTGCGCGGTCTGGATTACCCAGACAAGACTCTGCCAGACGATATCAGGCATGGGTTTCGCATCACAGGCTGGCTGCCCGACACTCAGACTAGGCCAGGCAAAGTTGTCCCGCCCGCTTTGCATAGGGACGAAGTCTGGGGCCAGAGGCAACACAACAACGCCAGCATGTGGGCCCGGTGCCGGGCCAGCGGTGATGCTGCCCTGGACAAAGCCTTGTGGCAACAGAGTCTGGAAGAGTGTAAAGCCGGTTGGGCTGTGCTAGAGACAGGACACAGGCAAGCGCCGTTGTCTTGTGTGCTCGGTAGACGCTTCGCTGTTCAACAAGGCGAGAAGGTCAGACCCATTGACGACCTGTCTGTGAGTGGGGTGAACAGTACCTTAGGCACAGACGAAAAGATCGTGGTACAGCCTGCTGCCAGCACAGTAGCCCTGGCACTGCATTTGCAAAGCCGCTGCCTGTCGCCCTCTGCCAAGGCCAGTCAGCCCTCAGGTCTCAAAGGCAGGACTTTTGACTTGAAATGGGCCTTCAAGCAATTAGGCATACATGAGGATGACTTGCCGTACGCCAAAGTCACAGTCTGGAATGCAGACCAGCAGCAGCCCGCAGTCTTGTCCCTTAAGGCTTTGCCTTTTGGAGCCACAGGCAGCGTCCACGGTTTTAGTCGTTGTAGTCTTGCCTTGTGGCACGTTGCCGTCAGTCTGCTGTTGCTGCCGCTGACAGTCTTTTTCGACGACTTTACGTCTGTCACGGTTGCAGACGACTGCAAGAGCGTGACAGACAGTTTCCTGCTCCTGCTTAAGGTCCTCGGGTGGCAGGCAGCTCTAACGGGGAGCAAAGCCACTGACTTTGCTGAGTCCTTTGTTAGCCTTGGCATAGCCTATCTTTTGCCGCGCACCCTCGTGGCCTGATCCGTGTACACAACACTGAAAGCAGGCGCAAGGAAGTTGCAACAACGTGCCTCAGAGCGTTGCAGAACAACAGCCTCTCCCCAGCCGAATGCCTCGCCTTCGCAGGCAGACTCAGGTGGCTGGAAGCACAGACTTTTGGCCGTGCAGGCCGTTGGGCTTTCCGCGTCATACTTCAGCATGGGCTGCGCCCTGGTAGGCACAGACCTGCTCAGCTCACTACAGCCTTGCGCGACGCGCTCTCTTGGACACTGAAAATGTCCCTGACGCGGTGCCCAGGAGCTTCAGACAGCCAGCCACCTCTTCCAGGCATGTCTCACAGACGGATCTTTCGAGCAAGGACTTGGAAAGCTGGGAGGGGTCCTCTATGGGTTAGATGGAGACCCCACCTTCGGGAAAAGAATGCGCGTGAGCTGCTTTACACAGTAGAGAACTGTTGCTGTTAAGTCGCGTTTGCATGCAACTGACTTTAACAGCCATGTTCGTCCATTTTGGATCAAGTGCCTGGATTTTTGACGCCCTCCCTCCACTACCCATGAGAAGGGCACTTGACCCCAGTTGGGAGTGTGGTTTTGGTTTTGGCACAGTCAAGCGCAGCCGCGGTAGCCTCACGCTGCCCTGGGAGGAAGATACCTTTGCTTTCATAGCCAGTGACGACACCTTTCTCGACAGACTGCAGACGGACCTGCTGACCGTTCCTGACCCAGTGCCGCTACCTCAGAGACCTGAGGCCACGTCTTCACAGACGCTGCAGCCGAGTCAGCTGCCTCAGCCGCAACTCAGGCGCCTTAGCCAGTGGAAGCCTCAGGACAGCCAAGCCGAGCGACAGGCAGCCCTGTCCAAGTGGAGCCAGCTCTTGCGAGCCACTCCGCACTTCTTCCTCCCGCAGACGGTCAGTGAAGTGGCAGACCAGTGCAGCCGCAAGGAGCTCGGAAACTTAGACCTGAGGTTCGCCAAGAAGAGTACAAACACTTTGCTCAACAGGGTCAGCAGCTTTCAGCGCTTTGCAGCCTGGACGCTGAAAGCCTTTCCTCACGAGCCTCTCAGTGAAGCCCTGGTTTTTCTTTACTGTCAGCACGTAACAGCCAAACAGCCAGAGAGCAGCGCACCAGACCAGTTCAGTCAGTCGCTGAACTTCGTCGACGGAACCCTGGGACTACAGACGCCGGCAGCCACCTTAGTCAGCCCCAGAGTCCAAGGCTTGGCCCACCAGGCTTTGCGCAAGCAAAAGCCTCCTAAGCAGGCGCCAGCCCTGACAACAGACCAAGTCAGGTGGCTACAGACTTTCGCTGACTCAGACGAGCCACAGTACGAATGTTACCTGGCCTCTTCTTTTCTTTTTATGGTTTATTCGAGGGGTAGGCATAGCGACCTTAAACGCAGCCGCACTCTTTTCGTAGACACAGACGACTCTGGCGCGCCAGTCTTTCTTGAGTGCGAAGTGCTGAACCCCAAGCAGTCCAAAGCGAGCAGACGCAGGAACCTTTTCCTGCCCTTGGTAGCCCCAGCAGACGGAATCTGCAGCCTGCCGTGGGCAGTCAGATGGTTGGAGCTCAGACAAGCTCTAGGCCTTACCTGCTCTGGCAGCCTCGAAGCAGCACCTCTTTTGCCGGAGCTGGCCGCTGACGGTAGCCTGCTGCCAACCAGCATGGACTCAGCCACAGCTACCAGATGGTTGAGATGCATTTTGTCTAGGCAGCCGGGCAGCAAGACAGAAGACATCCTTAAGATCTCCAGCCAAGGTCTAAAAGCCACTTGTCTCAGTTAGACAATGAAAGCAGGCATTCCCGATCCTGACCAGACGCTGCTAGGCTACCACAGCCGGGGCAAGAGCGGTAGCTCTCTCAGTTATGGTCGAGACTCTTTGGCAGGTCCCCTGCGTCACCTCAGTCAAGTCTTGGACGACATACGTGCAGGACGCTTCAGACCGGACAGCACTCGCTCAGGGCGCTGGCAGTCAGGGCAGCCGGCACTGCAGTCTACAGCCGCCACCCCGACTTTGACGCCGGCAACACCCTTAAAGGACAAAGAGCCTCCCGTGGTCAGCTCTGAAAGCAGCAGTGACGAAGACTTGGAGTCCCATGGCTCCTCCGGCGACGAAGTCCAGCTTTTACATAGTGTTAGCCACAGCCTGGCCTTAGTCGCAGGCAACAGAGAGTTCCAATTTTTGACCAACGTCCGGAGCGGCGTTATACATATCGCAAAAGCAGCCAGTGACAGACTTCTGTGCGGCCGAACAGTCTTTTCCGGCTTAAAGCGCTCAGAGACAGTCGATTTCTCTGCAGCTCAGGCTTGTTTAACCTGTCAGTCAGTTGCAGACGGTTTAATAGACGGACAGTGGGCCAGCAGCCAATGATTGGCCACTGCCCTAAAATTTTCGTCTCCCGCAGGGGGGCAGAATGACGTTTTGCCTCCGCCTGCCTGAACAGCCGGTTGCAGTCGCTGTGACAGTCGGTCTAACAGACGGACCAGACCGCAGCAGACTAGAAGGCCCGGACTTGAGACCGGACTTGAGACCCCACCTTCGGGAAAAGAATGCGCGTGAGCTGCTTTACACAGTAGAGAACTGTTGCTGTTAAAAGGCCAAAACGACCTGCTAGACCCGAAACACAAGAACATGTCTCTCGCGGCCTTCTCAAGGGCCTTACGCCGATTCTATGTGCTCCTACTGCTCAGCATGTCGACCACGGACGGCTTACACAGTTGTCACTTCATGACTGCTTCCTCTCAGTAAGGTTTGCCACGAAGTTTGGCCCGGCTGATCACTCTACGCCCAATGCGCCCGGAGCTCATCAAGATTTCGAATTGTATCCGTGCATATCCGTGCTAGATTTGCAGAATCCGTGAAGTCAAAAGCATGCGACTAGCCGAACAGCTAAAGCAAGTTATTTGAAGCAGAAGCTTCTCGCAACCTGGGTCATGCTCGTGTACTCAGCCGACGGCCTCTGAACCCTTCTGCGATTCGTCCGTGACAGCTGCTTCTCTCCGCCACTGCAGGACACACCAGGCCTTGAATGCAATGGCCTCTCGTGGTGCAGGGCTCTACGGTGTCTTCCTGAAGGCAGGCTAAAAACCGCAGGTGCCCAGGATGGGCAGTATCACAGCTTATCTGCGAGGGCATCATCGACAAGATGGATGCCGACGCCTGCACTGTGATCTGCCCTGAGACCGACTTAGACGTGTAGTGAATGTTTGGCATTGAGATGCCTTTGCACTGGACGTCACAAGATGCTGAGGCCTAGACCACTGCCAGTCGAGACTGATGTTTACTCGTTGCGCTTGACGCTCAGTCAAGGAGGTCCCACTGAACCCTGCCAAGCCCCAGACGCATCCCTCAGACGCATGGGTTACCGACACCAAAAGGCCTTTCTCAGAGGCCCCAGAACAGATTTCCAAGATGTGTCGGGTGTACCGGCTTGGGCTTGGCAGTACAACCGCCTCTCTCTGCACATGTAGCTTGTGCATCAAATCGGTCAAATCGTACAGCTTGTACATGCAGTTCAGTGCAGCACTGCACGTGTTGTTCAGTTGTCGTGCAATCTCCCAAGCTGTTCCATAGTGGGTGCTGGACCACTTTTGAAGCCCCGCCCGCCCGTCCGGATTGAAGCACTTTGCTGCCCAGCATTTTCGCAATGCCTAAAAGGGGGGCCTGCGGCTTGAACTCTTTCTATTAGCTACATGAGAGCATGAGAAGTTAAGTGAAAGCCTAAGTACACCGGCACTGCGGCAGCGCTGTTCCAAGATCAAGATCAAGCCGTGTCAGGCTTGCAATCCGAACCGCCTTCACTAGACTTGTGATTTTATGGCCCTGGAATGACCAGAAGTGTTTTTCTGTGTAAGACAGGTTGTGTGGTTAAGAAGTCCTGTGAGGTTGGCTGTGAGGTTTGCCTTGGTGAGGTTTCTTGTGAGGTTTGCTGTGAGGTGCCCCTTGCTGTGAGGTTTCTTCTGAGGTTTGCTGGTTTGGGTGAGGTTTGTTGTGAGGATTTGGGCGGGAGGGTTGAGGTTTTTACTCTTGAGGAAGTAGACATGTTTCGAGGTTCAAGGTGAATGTAGTGTAGTGCTGCGCGGCAGCCGCTGAAGTCAGCTCCGGTATGCCAGCCATAGACTAACAAAGGATCTCAATGATCTGTGTGAAACCCAAGGCCCCTATAACTACTAAAACGTATGAAGTTGAGCATGACTTACACTCGCCAGGGTAGGAATTTCGGGGGCCTAGTCATCGCGTGAAACCTCGCAGCAAACATCACAAACGCTTTCCGGCTGGTCAGCTGCTTGGTCGGGCTGCTTGTTGGGGGCGACTTTCCGGCCGTCGTTTGGGGTGATTTTGGGGCTAGTCACAACAAGTCCTATGTTCCCGGCAGCCTCCCCGAAACCTAACAGCAAACCTCACAGGCGTTTAGCCAGCCTGCCGTCGTGAAAAATCCGCTCAACACAAACCTGAGCGGCCGGGTTGGAGGGGCAGGCGGATCGGGTTGGGACCGGGCACCAACCGGCTGGTGGGCTCGGGCTGGGCTGAACCCGGGCAGGGCACCTCACAGCAAACCTCACAAGCAACTTCACAGGAAACTTCACAAAAAACCTCACAGCCCGGACCGCCGTGCGCGCGCCCGGCGCCCGCGCCGGAAGAGTTTAAACTTAACCCACTTAGGCGCGGGGTGCCCGCCCCACCTTACGCGCGCGCGGCCGAGCAGGCACGCCTAAATGGGTTAAGACTCTTCCCGGCAGACGCGGTCCGTGAGGTTTCTTGTGAGGTTTGCTGTGAGGTTTCTCGTGAGGTTTGCTGTGGGTCCGTCGTCCCTGTGAGGTTGGCTGTGAGGTTTGCTGGTTTGGGTGAGGTTTTCCACCGCGACCCCAGCCCGGCAGCCCTGTCCCGGGCCCGGGCCAACTTGCTGTGAGGAACCCCGTCCCTTTCTGCGGCCCTTCCCGGCCCGACCCCCGCGCTTGAGGTTTGGTGTGACGGGAATTTTCAAGAGCTTACAACAAGGACAAACACCGGAATGGCCTCGAAACCGTGCCCCTTCGACGCTAAAACAACAGCAACAAATCGTACTTCTCAGCAATGGGGCACCGCTTCGAGGCCAAAACAACGGCAGCATAGCGTACTTCTTAGCACTGCGCACCCACGTCGCACTTCTTAGCACTAGGCACTTCGAGCGTACGCACCGCTTCGAAGCCAAACTGATATCCAATGGGCTCTACATTGCATGTTGCCCTGGTGTCTGGGGCAGCATTTTATTGTTCCAACCGAACCGTCATAACGCAAGACCGTCGTTGACCAGTGATGATGAGTGACACCTCTCAAAAGGTTCCTGAGAACCCGCGTTGTGCACACAGGTTCTTCACGACAAAGTCCCAAGCTTGCTCACAACCGGTGTTTGTCGCACACATTTCTCGCAAGGTTCCTCACAAGAAGCCTCACAAGCCATGTTTCTCGCTCCGATTTCCCACAGGGTTTCTCACAGGGTTTCTCACAGGGTTTCTCACAGGGTTTTTCACAGGGTTTCTCACAGGAAACGTCGCAAACTTACTCACAAGCATTCGGCTCCTATCAAGACACTTCACAAGTTCACTCACAGGCATCCTTACAAGCAACCTCACAGAAAAACGACTTTATGAACTTCCAATACTTGCAGGCAACATAAAATCAAGACGCGGACGATCAGCCTTGCAGATGTTAGGGCCCATCAGTGTAAGATTGCTTCAGTTGTGCAACCATATTGCAGACTGCAGAGATGTCTCCCACTTCCTTGTCTTGGAGTCTACCATCCTCTAGATTTGAGGCTTTCGCACCCATGATCGTTTATGAATCAGTCGGCCCCGGCCCCAGGTTACTACAAGGTCGTGCAGAACCGCACGGAGGAGCGTGTCTTAGAAATTTTGCAGCATGGAGCCTGTGGGATGCCTACAGGTTTACGACATTGTGACTCGCGTCTTCCACCGGAAGGACGGCCCGAAGCCCAGGCTTTCGCTTTCGGCAGCCGGAAGCGTGTGACCGTATCGAGGTTGGGAGGAACTCCCGCACGGACTTGGTCTTTCCAACGTGTGGAACTCTCCCAGACTCCCAGGCACTGAGGAGTCAAGTCTCAGCTTCAGGCCTGGAACCTGTGCTGGACATGGAGCAAGCCAAAACTGGACTACTCTCGCCTGCTGCCAAGGGCACCACTGCATTGGATTGACATTGAATATGACCGAATGCTTGGTTTGTACCAGGTGAAGTTAATCAAACAACACACACTCTGAGGTTTGTGTGTCTGGCAGAAGGTCAACCATTTTCCCGAGAACAAGCACTTGACTCGCAAGGATCGTTGCTTCAATGTGTTGGCATTTCTGTGGTGTTTGACACGGCCTTGCCAGACAATGTGCTTAAAGGACTTCCTGAAGAGATGCATCGACAGGTACACGAGAACAGGCCCTGCCATGCAACGGCTATGGTAACCATCATGAAAAGTGCTCGGCCGTGGGCATGAGAGCCATGTTTCGGAAAAGGTGGAAAGTTGGGTCAGTACTTCAACATCTGTCCGAAGACCTTCGTACTTCCGAAAGAGTACGCGGCACAAGAGGGGCACACGTTTCGTCACAAGTCTGAAGCGATTACGTCAGGTATTGCCTGTTCATTGAGTGCTTCACCAAGATCGCTGAGGAGAACGGTGATTTGGAGGGCAGTGAGATGCTGAGATTGAGTGGAAATACTACCTGTCATGTCGAAGAGTCGGATGTTGTGCTTGTGTGCAGACTTCAGTTCGAGCGATGATATGTACTGGCGTCGCGGGCTAGAATAGCCAGAACCCGACCACGGTTTTTACAAGTATGAGTGCTCAGGCATTCGGGAAAATCTTGCTTGCTGACAGCGTCCGTTAGGGTCTTGTGCCGGTCTTATTGCGTCCTGGCAGCCTCTGTTCAGTTGAGAACAGAATCCATGCTTGTTGCACAAAAACAGTCCCGCATCACGCAGCGACCCGTACCACCAAGGCGAAACGAATTAGAGTGCACAGCATAGCAGCAAACCATGTGGTGTTGCCAGCCTTTACATGAGATGTCCCATGTCAAGCCCGAAGATGTTGCAGAGATGAGAAAAGCATGTGACTTTGGAACTCCATGTTCTGGATTTATCCATTGCATGCCCCCGAGTGTTGTGTGTTTGTTCGACGAGTCGTAGCCAAGATCCAACGCTCCAACGCTGGAATGTGCACCAAAGCTCCTCAAAGAAACACGCGCGGTATCTGCGCACCGGTGTTGCGTGATCTGCCGAAACAACAAAAGTATGGCCATACAATAGTATGTAGTAATTACACGTCGACAATCTGAGGTAGCCCTCCGCGTGGACTCAAGGCAGGCCCCTTGCTTGCTAGAGCAAGTCTGCTGAAAAAAGTTCTTGGCAAGGTCCCGAATATGTGGATCATGAAACCTGCCGGCAGCAGTCGTGGCAGAGGAATTCAGGCTGGAGCGCTCTGCTGCGAGTGTCCGCGTACTTCTCCGCCATCAAGAGTAAAATATCAACTCATCCAGGGCGTCAGGTGTGCAGAGAGAGCCCTGCCGGTCCGCGTTGAGGGATTCGAGCACGTTAACGCTTCCAGACGCCACGCTGAAAAGAGCCAAGTGCAGCCTTCTTTGTCGAATCATGCAGGTTATCAACGACGTGGGTGCTGTCCACTACGGTGAGCTTACAATTATCCAGCCACTTGCCGGGCAGGAGCTGGTCCCCGTCCCAGCGATTGCGCAGATGTGATGACATGTCTTGCTGAGGCAATACATCAGTGATCCGTTCCTTTTGGGCGATTTCAAGTGGGAGTGGAGCTGAGCACGACGTTTAGATACTTGTAGTATCTTGTAGTTTTTCGTCTACAGTCACCCCTCTGTGCGAAGGACGAGGGATGCACCTCAAGAGCCTGAATTCTCGCATAGGGCTGAAATTGTCGAAGTTGACACGATAAGACAGGTTCACAAAACACCGAGCAGAAATGCTTCAAAAAAGAACACGGACGTGGGGCAATGTCTTTCTTTCTGTCTCGCGGCAGTTCCGAGAAGGACCATGGAATTTCCGAGGCAACATAAACTAGCTGCGTCAAATTCTGCTCTCGCTTCCAAGACGGCACCGGCTAATGCGCACCTTCTTCACAACACAATGGTCGCTGGGTGCGCAGTCCCACCCCCTCATCCCTCTCTGGAACGAGCGATGGCAGAGCGCAACCTGCGTCGACGAAGTCTACTGTGAGAGGTTCCCTTTTGTCACTCGCAGCTCACGCTCTGCATTTTGCGTTTTGATTCGCAAAGACTGCAAGTGAAATAGGCAAGCGGCAAACCAGAGAAATCAAACGATCAAACAGACATAGCAGCGCCTTTGAGCAAGTGCCGTACACTGCAGGAGCTTAGAGTCGCGGAAGTGCTCGGATGGCTTGGGCTGCTCGCATTTCCATGTCTGTGCATCATCACCGTGACGACGAGCAACAAGAGCGACAAGAGATGACAAGAGCGATCAGAACACGAATGCTGAGAATGCAGCACCCTTCACCAATCCAAAGATCTGAAAACGTAAGTGACTATGTGCAACATGCGCCCCGCGTGCAATTAGGAACGGGTCAGTCCAGTTCAGCGTCCACCCCGGGATGGAAGCTATCACGACGATCATCGAAGCTGGCGCACAAAGTCATGGCGTGGCTAACAAAGGACCATGTGGATGCAAAGTGACCAAGCTTCTCGAGGGCATTGGCTTGCAAAGTCATGTTCGCACGGGGGTTGTACCCTCTGCAGGCCACAACTCGCTTTGGTTTTTCCTCTGACAGACAAAGTCTCCGTGAGAATTTGTCCACGACGTTGATGGCCGGACAGCACTAACTTGGGCAGGCTAGCCCCAACACGCCTTCTCTCATCGTGGACCTGCGGCAGACCTTCAAAATTCTCGAGCAGATTGGAAGCGCACGCAGCAACAGAGAGTGCCCTTGGTACTCAGATATGCTGTCGGTATACTTCTCCCTTCTAGTCATTATGAACATTCCGCCTTGAGATTCGGGGGGTGGACATGGGACATGAAGCTGAGGGCAAGTCCCCTGCTCACAAACATCATTGATCTGCACTATTGCCCTGCTAGGTACTATATTCAGTTGTGTCGGTCGGAGAAACGGGTCTCTTCCGATGCTGATGATGCCGGCTGCAGGGCCTCTTTTGAAGGCTTCCAATGAGGCAGATTCTCGCTTCAACCTGTTTGTCCACGTGCTTTTCGCATCTTGGGCAGTGCTGACATGTGCAGTCTTCTCTTCCTTTCATCGGCATTCCCGCGCTTTGGATTGTCTAAGATGTTTTTTGGATTCCATGGAAACATGGCACCTGCGTGCATTCTCTAGGCTAGCTTGGATTCGGCAGCCACATTTCACCCTTTTGCTGCCTTGCTTGAAAGTCACGTGCTCGGCTCGCCTCTCCTGGAGAGGTTCTAGAAGGGCCAAGAAATCCGTTAATGATGTTAATGGCGTTTACAACCGTCATGTCAGTTCTGCTGCTTTTCTCATTTCACACGATGCAGAGCCTGCATTTTCCTCGCAGTTCGCGACATGAACTTATCTCATTGTATTTTGCCTGTCTGTCCCTGTTCCGTGTCACCAGCCTTGTCCATTATGGAGCTTTCGTCCCAGCCCGTGGCTCTCAAGTCTTGGCTTCATGTTCGGCCTTCGCATGTCCTGAAGGACAAGCAGGTCGACTTTGGCCCCATTCCCTCAGTAAGGAAGTCTTCGCCGTTGCTGCAGCGGCCACGTCCCGCTTGCATGTTCACGCGGCCCTGCTTTTGCGCCCGACACGTGCGTGAATGCAGTGAATTGTTAAGTTATTGCATGCTCCTTGCAGGATTCTGTGCGCATAGATATCTGAGCATCGTGCTCGGGGCTTGCGCAACCGCTTAAATCTCTTAAGCCTGCAAGCTCTCCAATCCATGGATTGCGTTGCTGTTCATCGCCAAGGACATGCGCACATATGTGACTGTGACGTCTTTCAACCCGTTGGAGGCCAGATCGAGTTTGTGACGCTAACATGGGATAGTTGCAGAGGGGTCTGCTGTGAGTTGTACGTGAGCAGCGGTCCTGGCATGAGACAGTCATGGTCTGAGGCGTTTGTTTACAAAGATGGCTTCGCTCGATTCACAACGGTCCCGTACAACACCAGTTCCGATGACATCGACAACAAGTGGCGACCTAATTTGGTAAACTCGCCAAGTCAGACACGACCAGTTCATTTTTGAACACCCGAGGTTCGTGCATTTGACGAATTCGTCTATACAAAGGACACCTTTTCGGGACAGCTTCTCTTTCGGAGTACTGACGTCGACGTGCTGACAGTTGCCAGGCACAACGAAGATCAGTTCATGCAGAGTGATGACAACAGCAGAGCCCGAGCCTCGAGAGAAATCATCTGTGAATCTTGTTGTCATGGGGGCACTGTCTGGGTCTGGCATCAAGTCAAGTCCCACAAGGACATGACTCGGCGAGAAGAGGCAATACTTGGAGGAACGAAGATTTCGCCACGTCCTCAATCAGCTGTAGATCATGATGTTGCTGCCACGCTGTTTGCAGCAATACGTAACCACCACAGGCTTGTAGCTGTTTCCCAGCTTCAGTCCACAGCGTGTTGTACATGGCCGGAGACGGGAAGACTTGCCTTAGAGGGCGAAGCAGAGGGTTCGGTAAGGAAGACCTGCCAAGCGAGTTGCAGTTGTTTCTGGAGTCTTACGCGGAGCAACTTGACAACTTAGGTTTCCAATGCTTCGAGAGCGGCTGGAAGCAATGGGAGTTGATTGGGTGCCTGAGCATGGTGGGTTGTGGGTGGTAATAAAGACAGCGTCGTTTCACTCCTGAGGCTACAGTGTGGGCGAAGATGGTCGAGGTAATTCTGAAGTCCTTGTGCATGGCGGAGGATTTCATTCCGAACCAGGCGTGGCAACAGCTTGGTGACGTTTGCTCCAAGAATCCTTGAAGCAGGTGAACTCGTTCGAGCTTTTCGGCTATGACCTGCTGATGGACTCGAAAATGAAGGTGTCCGAGAGTTTCCATTCCTTGAGCATTCAGATCGTTCAGCGTCATCGAGTCGAGTCGCTTTGTCATTTTCTTTGTCTCATATGGAAACACAAATTTGTGCAAGCCCGGGCACCACCCGCCTCGCGTTCCCTTTGCCACATCATCATTGAACCCTACAGGTCTGAAGAAATGCCCAAAAGTTAATACCGATCATAGCATCTTGCCTACTCAAACGGCAGGTGTGGCTCATTGAGGTGAACTCTTCACCTTCCATGGGCCAGGACAGATCAGTGGGCAGCAGATATGCAGTCTTGGCTCGGATGAGGCATGTTGTCACCCGATATCGCCCGACGACTTGCGCACTTTGGGGGGGCAGGATATGAGCGGCAAGAGGTGTTCAAGACAGTTCTTTGCACACCTCGAAATGGTGACACGAGCCGGGCTGGAGAAGGCTGCTGGGCCCGGAGAGATGGGCATCGATGTTGAGACCCGGTCTGACAGTCACAAGGAAGCCAATAACTTGGTCGGACGGCCTTGGCATGTGCATGGCTAGGGGAAGAGAGTGACTAGTCGCAAGCAGCTAAAATGGTATTAATAATTGTACATTGTATGCATGCATGTATGTATGCATGTATGTATGTACGGACGTAGGTCTGTTTGTCTGACTGTCTGTCTGTCTGTCTGTATGTATGTATGTATGTATGTATGTATGTATGTATGTATGTATGTATGTATGTATGTATGTATATGGGCATGCAGGCATGCAGGCAGGCACTGCGGGATGGATGGATGGATGGATGGATGGATGGATGGATGGATGGATGGATGCGACCAAGAAGTGAGCGCTGTTTGAGACGCCTTACGTTCACGCTGTTTAGACGCCTTACGTTCGAGCACAGGTCATGGCTGTACTTGGCACTTATACAGAGTTCAGCCCATGCCGTGGAGGAGCATTTGCTAGATGAGCACGTCAAGCAGCCTCTCATTGGCGCAAGCATCTCAGACCTTTTCTTGTTCCGTGGCGGTCTTCCGGAGCTCTGCTTCTGCTGCACTGTCGAGGATACCATTGACTTGGTTGAGCCGCTGGAATTTGACAGGCGTAGGCTGCAGTCCACTGTTTTCCTGGCCTTCTCTGACTTTGCACCTGCGAGAAGTGCTATGCTGCAGGCTGGCGGAGGTTCTGCACCGCCGGGTTGAGACCGCGTGGCATGTTTGAGGGTATCAGGGCCTAGGTATGTTGAAGGATGTGTTTCGGAGGGGACGTTGTGTTCTGGTGCGCAGATTGTGCTTCGTTGAAGCCCGGTTCTGCCGATGTGGGGGTTATCGGCTGTTGTGCTTCTTTCTCTTCATGTCCAGGTGATTTTTCGTTGAGTGTGAGAGAGAGAGAGAGAGAGGGAGTGAGTTGCGTTGTCTGTGAAAACCTTTCTCCTCTGATCTCGTGTCACAGTCAAACCCGGCACCACAAGCGGCTTGCGCCTGACGCACAGGTGGGGAGAGCCCGCGGCAAGCAAGCAAGAGAGAGAGAAAGAGGTCCTCCTTTCCCTAATGCTGTCTTACATGAAATTGCGTTTGCAACTACATTACACAGAAGCTGCAGTCTGCGGGACCTTGGTTGTTTCTAACAGTTAAGAAGTGTGTTCGACTTCATAAGACTCCCCAGCAGTCATTAAAGCCTTGTGACAAGGCAACACAGGCTAAATAACTTTACTGGAAGTACTGTAGTCCCATGTAACGGGAACCTCGTAGTATGCCTGGACTAGTGTGATAGGAGACAGGCTCGCACTGTTGTGAACACGATATCCGTGCGACAAACAATTGGAAGGGCTTGAAGTTGCTGCAACATGCCGTATGTTTTCGCTCTCTTCACGTTGTTGTTAGCTTCAGTGATGTTCGGGAATCATCGCAGTGCGGGAACAACAATTCGCGAAGGTGTCCACCAGGCACCAGGGAACATCAAACTTCGTGCTACTCAAAACATATGCAAGCATGAATTATTGATGTGAATCCTGTGCTACGCTTTCACGATCTCCCTGAAGCCCCATAACACATGGGGTGCCTATGTGGCCGGGGGATCTGAACAGTCCCCCAAGCCCTATGGCCCATGGAAGAAGGTCATCCCCCGACAAGGGAATGGGCACTCGCGTTGTCTCCGCTCCTGAAGAAGTTTAAACTTCAACCGGGGTGGAGGGCATCGTGGCTGGGACAGTCTCGGTTGTCGTCGAACGGGTGGCCCATGCGGGCAGCAATGCTGCGAAACTGTATAGCGGAGCACCGACGGTACGACGACTGCTGCAACCTGCATGTCGAGTATCGCAATACAGTCGTGTTCCATAGCTGCCACCATCGTGACCCAGGTGCACCCTCGGGAGCCACCAGCTGCCTCAGCAAGAACCAAGCACTCCCAACGACAAATGAAGGGATGTGGGACGATGTAGATGTAGGAGACCAAGGCCACCCCAACACATCAGGTTTAGCTACGCAGAAACGGAATCGTTTGCCTCTGGCTCTCAGTGCCGCCACGGGGGCCCACACCGTTCCCGACACGAGCCTCGTGGCAACACCACGCATTAGGCCCCCCGGGTTGTTGTTGAAACAGGGCTTTACTAGTGATCTCGGGACGGTGGGCCCGTGTGTGCTGTCCCTGGGAAGGGCTCTTCTCGTATTTTACTAGTGTGGACTCTACTGTCCTTTGCACATGTGCACTCTGTTTAATTTGTTGGTCCGCAATGGCTTTTTGCAGGTCGGAACCGGGCGTGGCATGTAGAGAGTCGGCACTGAGGTTTTGAATTCGGATACAGGTTCCCATGTTTATATATATATATATACATATATATATATATACAATAGCCATGAAGATGTCGTAAGATACCATGTAGATATGCACATGGAGGCTGCTCGTGCTGGACTCTTGCCACACTCCTTACTTGGAACTCTAGCTAGTTCCCGGCACTGTCTGGGCAGGTTCGCTAGACTCAAGCTTGTCGTTCTTCTGGTCAGCACATGCCACCTAGCACGGACAATGCTTTGTCTGAGTTAATTTGACCTGCTATGACCGCATGACTGTAATGATACCCCCGGTGTCAAGCAGACAATAGCAGACAGGTGCAACTCCAACAATGTGGACGATCCAAATACAGATAAAGAGCACGACCGGCTCATGTCCAGAAGCCTCGACACGATTCTCCACACTCTTGTCCCGCAGCGAGGTAATGGTCATAGTAGCCAATATCTTCTGAAAGTAAGAGCCGCATCGTGGCACCACGGGGGGGAACAACAGCGAGTAGCGGAGCGTGCAATGCACACAGCGTGGTCATCAGGTCATCCTGAATTTGATACATCGCAGTGCCAACATCTGTCAAACCATTCACGTGCCATCGGGCCACCGTCGAACCAGGAAAGGGACTCGGTTTTTTTTTAAAAGTCATCGAGCCAAGTTGTCTTCCCGACAGTTTATTGCTCTAGAAGTCAAAAGACACGCCGGTATTCAGCATCTTTCCAGCAATGCCTCGCGCGCACGGTCGCTGTCACGGATGGGTTCCGCATGTCTCACGACGAGTTCCGCGAAAAGTTAAAGGCCTTCCCACAAGAAAACGGGGGAGAGGATGGCCACTAATTGACGCCGCTCCTGACTCCCTTGTCATGGGAGTGCTAAGTTGTGGAAACCAGGCGCAAAGCCGCAACAGGAGCAACGGGTGGCCGGCAGCAGCCTGCATCTGAATGCTCAGAGTGACTGCATTGCCAGCCTAGAGCGCTCAGCCGACTTCAGACGTTAACGCTGAGGTTGGACATTGACCTTCATGCGGTGCTGAAAGGGCAGCTTCCCAGGACAGTCGGCTTCCACGCATAGAGAGCAATCGAAGTCTTACTGCTTGGCGGACTGTGCGGAACATGAAGCGAGGAAGTATGGTGACATGCCACAATACATGGGCAATTACGAGCGAATTGCACCAAGCGAAGCTTGTCCGGAGCTTCGTGAAATCGCATTGCTTGTGAACCAATGTTAGTAGGTAGAGCCGGCTGAACCCAGAATGCCATCGCGCATTCTGGTGCTTGCCAAGGGGACAGCATGGTTCGAACGAGGAGCCTTTTATTCAACCGGGTTGGGCCATCCACTGAGCTTTGTTGTGGGTCCAGACCAGTGACACATGTCCGGGGCAGTGGCTGCACAGGTCCTCGAACTGATCTCCGTAGGTCACCTTAGGTTTTAGGTCTCACCAGGCAAACAAAGTCTCCCAAAAACAGGAGACTTTGTTTGCAGGTACCAAACTGATGTGGCTACCAGTCGGTCGTTTGCCTGCCGTCATTGGGGAAAGAGCGCAGCAAAGCCTGTCGTGGGGACAAAAGGGCCGTCCTTGCATGCAGTCAGGATGGATACATCCAGTATCGCTTTGATTACCACCATCGTGCGGCTGCATGCATTTGTTGGCAAGCCATGTTCGTAAGCCGCCATGTTCAGTGTACGAAGGGATTGGTACTGTATCGCAGCACGAGAGCCTTCGGCCTGCAGAGGAAACAGAAACATCCCTTTGCACGTCACATCATGAGATCGACTCCTGTCGGCAAGCTGGGAGAGGGAGGGGCCCTCTGACAGCGACGTCCCATCTGTTCACTCTAGCTGCGTTTTGTGGATCTGTGCTGGCGGCTCGCAGCAGTAGCTTGGCTGCATGGCCAAGCTTAGCGCAATATATCCACACTTCATGCCTGGACAGATTCCAGTTTCAGATCTTATGTCAGCTAAGTCAGAGGATCGGTGCAAACACGAAAGATTTATCTCTTCAGTAAATGTGCAGCATCTCATCATGCACGCACGTGCCTTTTTTTCTAGGCCCTTGTAGGCACTGTGGTCCGTGGCTGTGAAGAGCATGGCTCGGCTCAATAGGAACAGCAAGTCCTGACTTTGTCCTCTTGTCAGGCAGGCGAAACAACCTCTTTTCCAAGCTTCCGGCAAGTAAGCCGCGATGCAGGTCATGTCGATAGAAATTCAGAAGCAGATCAAGGCCTTGTGCTTGGCTCCTTTCAACCAGAGTGCAGAAGGGCCACTGCTTACATGGCCCCGAGGACAATGCAACGAGCGTCTCTGACTTCTTCTCCGACTTGTACAAATGGACTGAGGCGCGCCCAATCCCGTGGAGCTGCCCCTCCTTGTGTGTTAGACGCCCAGCACGTCACCTTTGCAGGACCAGGTCAAGGAGGAGCGCAGGAGGGAAATTCGAAAAACGGCTCGGCAAGTGGGCATCGACGAAGCGCAGAAGCTCATAGCACCCCGCTTAAACAAAGCAGCCGTGAGATGGTAGAATGAATCTTCAGCGGCATATATGCTCTCGTCGCGGCGAACTAAGGCAGCAAAGCCTGCCGAGCGAGATGCAGCTGAACAGATAAATGACGCCCATGCGGACGGAGAAAGGCGGGAGTAAGTTCCCCGTGAATGTCTGTCCTAGTTTGTGCGACATGCAGTGCATGCCGACGATTCGATTGTCCAGCTCGTGCATGATCCTGTTAAAGGTCCGATCCGATCAAACGCGACAACGCACCGATAGCCCAGTGCGCTTCAGCGCTTCGCTTCGTTGCAAAGATAGCAGCTGCCTGCTGACTCATATTCTTACCTGAATCTGTGCAAGAGGTACTACCATGACTGGGACAGATACGATCCGGAAGCAGAAGTCGGACGGATTGAGGAGGAGGTGTCATCTGCATCACAAGCACTCAAGCGCGTACGTTCATGGTCGGAGCCCACGATTCAAGCCTTGGGTGGCCAAAAGCTGATTTGCCTCTGCGAAGGCGTTTCAGTCGCAGCGGGCAGAAATGGACGCTCGACAGGCTGCGACCTCGAGATGATGTAGTTCTTCCACCATCCATCCACCTTGTCTGTGTAATTCTGCTGTACATGCGACAAACCTTGTGTATGTATGTATTTCTTCATGTTAGATGCAGGGGGCACCTGGGGCATGGAAGGGTCAGGTGCCAACGAAGACACCTTTCCATTGCCTGTGATATCGGCTCTGGACGCAGAGCTGACGTACCTGCAAAAAGCTGGGCCCCTGTGCCAGCAAGATTAGCAAAACATGTTTCCGTGAAGGCAGGTGTTCAGGTTTTGATGACGTTGTCCACTTCGAGCCCAACCAGGCATG